ACAATGCTTCCAGTGGAACACATCAGAAGAGATCAAGCAGCGTCACCCAAAGTACTATTCAACAACAACAAGAAAGAGACAGGACAGAGAGCCATCATCATCAGAAAACACCAACACAGCGCGCCCAACACCACCACCAACACTACACTGAAGAAAACATAACGCAGATCAATCAAGAGACGCGCCCACCAACAACAACAAAAATGAAAAAAAGGAAGAGACCCATAACATGCGCAAAAACTATACAAAGAAACCCATGCGGAAAAAAAACTATACAACGAAACCCATAACACGCGCAAAAACTATACAATGAAACCCATAACACGCGCGAAAACTACACAATGAACCGAAAAATATATATATCGCCCCGAAAAAGAAAAGAAAAAAACCCAAAAAAAACCAAAAAAACCGGACACACACACACACCACAACCAGTATTACACGACCCAAAACATGACCCAAAAAGCATAGTGCAGTAGGTCGAAGCACAAAGGACGATACAAGTTGACCCAAAAGAGTAGCCAACAACAAATATGGTCTGTTGCAGCATATGATAAAAGTTGACAAAAGAGTAGCCAACAAGAGTAGCCAACAAGAGTAGCCAACAAGAGTAGCCAACAACAAGAAAGACCCAAACAGTACAGTATGTCGCAGCATACCGCGCTTGTTGACCCAACAAAAGCGTAGCCAACAACAAAGTATAGTATGTTGCAGCATACTCTACAACGTTGAATAAAAACCCAACTCCCAAGACGAAGGACCAGATATATTGATCGAGAGATTTGCCATGCGGACTGCAAAGGGCCACAGATGAGCATTGATTGCCTCGGGCCATCGCTTTGTCGCATGAATCAACAGGGTACGTGCCATGTCTTGGATATGCTTGATCCTTGCTTCAGCTCTTCCGTTCTGATGATGTGCATTGACTCCTGCAAAGCTGATGGACTGCTTCTTCGGGTGACACTCATCAATCCACCCTTTCGCGACGAACGTTCCGTTGTCTGCATGGTAGTGTTGGACTTGGATCCCATAGGTTGCAGCAAGTCGCTCGAATACCTCCTTGCCTACCAGCGTATCTTCCACGGATGTGCTCTTCTGGAAGTGCACATAGCTGAACTTGGAGTATTGGTCGACATAAACGGTTGCAACTCTGTACCGTTCTTTGGTAAGAAATCCAGATGTTTGTGGGATCAAACCAGGTATTCCTGCTTCCATCATGTCAACACTAACCACTTGTCCTGGTCTTGTTGCAGTTTTTGCTTTGCGACCATTCTTCTTGTTCTTGGTGTGCCACGGCCTTCTGGTTGCCTTTCCAAATTGGCAAGCACTGCATACAGTATTTTGGGAGCTCACCTTTCTTTGCCATTGCTTGGATCTTGGCTGGCAAACAGTGATTGAACTTGTGGTGGTACTTGAGGAACTCAGCTGCATGATTTTGTTTTTGAGTGTCCTCTTCGTTGTCCTCAATCTGTACTGCTGCTGAACTTTTGTTTTTGTCCATATTGAGGTCGAAAGTCATTGGTGTTTGACGCATTGGAGGTTCGGGATCATCTTCAGATGGTTTAGATTCTCCCTCTCGATGGGAAGTTGGTGTCGTGATTTTGTCATTGTCATGCTTGTCATCACTGACCATCGCTGCCTCCATTGCTGTAGGTGCTTCAAGGTCTTCTTCAAAGAGGTCGTCGTCCTGGTTGGCTTCGGCGCATTGGGCACAATAGGCATAGAAGTTGTTGTACCCTGGTGCCAAATCAAAGGTAAAAACATTTGTTTTTAGGTCAACTGCAATGGTTTATCGATACTGACACCTGTCTCCCCATTGCAGTGTACAGAGCTCGCCTTCTGTTGTTTCAATGAACTGTCCAAGGCCTTGTTTCTTATGATCTCATCTTGCCTGAAGGTACGTAAAATGAATTTGGGATTCGGA